GGTGGATGAAGAAGAATGCTTGATGGGAGCCATTCATTCCAGATTTGTCTCCATAGCCTTCCCGCCCTCGATGGATGAAGTGTGTGGAGGATACAGGAAGCTTCTTCAAGCCTACTCTGGCAGCCTTGTTTGTCCGTGAGGCCTTCAGCCCGAGCACCCAAAGTGCTGTATGTGAGGGCTCTTCCCCAGCCCATGTCCCTCCACCCCTTTCTACCCAATCATTCTCTCCTAATTCTACTGACTGTGCCCTACTCTGTGGTTGGGGGATGGTCAGGAAGTCAGGCAGTCACGGAGAGAGAGAGACCACACTATGAGAGAGAAGTCAAAGGAGGCCAGGCTGCATCCCTAGGGTTTACATAGTTTTACTACAGGACACAAGTGCACACAACATGCACGGAATTTGGACAAGTTACCTAACTTTGCTGCACTTGTGTTTCTTCAACCATAAAATGAGAAAATTGAACTCCATGGCCTCTAAACGAATCCCTGTTTCTCTATGATTTCTTAACAACACAGGAAATGACAGGAAAACGGAATGATATAATCTTAAAACGTTCAAGTGAATGAGTACTGAATAGTCTTTGAGTGCCTACCATGTGGCCGATACTCTTGTAAGCACTTTGCATGAACTACTTTAATGCCTAATATCATCCTGATTTTAGAGAAGAGAGAAGTGAAGCACAGAGAGGTTAAGTAACTTGCCCAAGATCAGCTACCAGTTTATAGAGTCAGGATTTGAGCTCAGGCTTCTGATATCGTCATCCATTTACCTCTATCAAGAAAAGATACAAACAAGAAGATAGATGGATGGGAAATCAGTAACCACACAGTCAGTTGTGAAGCTGGAAAGACTTTAGCTTGTTGGAAAGCTGAAATGCCCAGAAAGATGGAGAAAGGAAATGCCGGCCATAATTAAGAGAGTGTGAGGACAAGGGGCCTTAAGAGCAGGGAAGGGAATGATGGTCCTCTTCCTCCCTCTGCTTTCTGAGTGGATCACCTGGCCAAGGGTAAGGATGGTACCTCCCTCCCCTGGAAGGCTGGGATCTCCCATGGAAAGGAACTTTCTCCCCTATTGACCTCAGGAGTGACCAGCTCTCAGATTTCCTTTCTGTGTGTGGCACCTCCTTTCTGTCCCCCCAGATCTCTGTGCTCTGGGTTTCCAGTCACCTAGTTAATATTACTTCCTGCTTTCTCTCTCAGAGATCTTCCCCCTTCTCTGGTAGCTCCTTGGAGCCAAGGCCCTTCTTAGAGGCCCAGCAGGCAGGACCCCAGACTGAAGCTGACCCTGATTCTGTTTCTCTATCCTGGCCCCTTCACAGGCTATGGAATTATTCACTGCAATCAAGAATGCCCTCATCAGCCGCCTCAGAAGGATTCCCTGGATGGATGAGAAGACCCGGAAAGAGGCCCAGAACAGGGTGAGCTCAGAGTGAAATACACGAGTCAGAAGGGGTGGAATTGAGTATTGGACCCAGAGATCACACTGGTGGGAGGAGAATGCAAAGGCACAAGGACACATGGCAAGTGTAAACACCAATATGCTGCCCACATACCCTGGTGACAACACAAAAGGTGGGACCAGGGCAGTGAACACAAGATATTCTCTCTGATCAACTTGGGGTAGCTAGGTTTCTTCTATCTTTTGTGTCTCTCCCCAGGTCACCCAACTGCAGGTGAAGATGGGGGCCCCAGAATGGGCCCTGGAGCCATCACAGGCCAGACAGGAATACAACGATGTGGGTCCCTGCCCTTGCCAGCTCCTCATTAGTCCTCAGCCCCCTGACCCACCTGAGTGGCAGATAATCTGTTTATCCTGGGCAATCCTAACTGACCCCTTCCTTGCCCTGGTGATGGCTGGGTTTTACGGGTGAATATCCACACTGTGGGTCTTGCCAGCAGAACAGCAGAACCTTTTCAGGTCACACTGAGTGTGTGTGCATGCATATACACATGCATTTTTGTGACTTGCCTGAGCATGTTTATCTGTGCTCTGATTTGTGTAAAACCTGTCTGCACTGACATGTGGCAGTGTCATTGTGCTGCCTTCCACTGTACTATGGATGTCTATATGCCGGGGCTTATCCGTCTGTGTTCAGATGTACCCATCAGGGTATGTCAGTGTGCATCTGTATTTGTCTCTGTATATCCGAGTCACTTCCTGCCTCCTCCCAGATACAGCTTGGACCCAGCTACCTGCAGTCCTTCCTGAGCTGTGTCCGATCCCTGCAAGCTAGAATTGTCCAGAGCTTCTTGCAGTCTTTCCCCTACCACAGGTATAAGAGCAAGGGAGACATAGACCCTGCATCTCAGAGATACCCATTCAAGATTAGCAGGAAAGATGGGGGCTTGGGGAAACAGGAACAGTGTGACAGTAGTTGAGAGGGTCTTCATGTCTGGTGGGAGGGACCATAAATGATGGAGATGGTGTTCATATGTGCTCTTCCCATAGGTGGCAGGTATCCCCCTGGGGGGTCAATGCTTATTATTCAATACCTGACCATGTGGTGGTCTTCCCAGCTGGACTCCTCCAACCGCCATTCTTCCACCCTGGCTATCCCAGGTAGGGGCTATTCCCTGAGGGTGGGCAGGGGACTTTCCAAGCCTGATGGACAGATGTTGTGACAGATGGCACTTGTGGTCAGAGAATTGGGGTCAAAAACTTGTATTGGAAGGATTCTGGGAGTAAGACAAACCTCTGTTTCCCCAGAGCCGTGAACTTTGGCGCTGCTGGCAGCATTATGGCCCATGAGCTGTTGCACATCTTCTACCAGCTCTGTGGGTAACAGTGGGCCATTGGGAGGTGGGGCCATTGGGAACCCAGGTGAAGGCCCCAAAAGAGGCCGTGAGGAGGAGAAAGGGTGGGCTCCTGGTGGGACAGTTCTGAACCCTTTGCAATGCTTCTGGGGGCCAGCCCAGTCTGTGGTAGCCCCCTTGTACTCATCCTTACATGCTGCCTCACTATTTCTTTACCTGGCCGCATTTTCAACAGTACTCCCTGGGGGCTGCCCAGCCTGTGACACCCGTGCCCTACAGGGGGCGCTGCTGTGCATGAAACACCACTATGAGACCATTCCCTTACCCAATGGAACCTCCTTCAATGGATCTCGGACATTCCTGGAGAATGCTGCAGACATTGGGGGGCTGGCCATTGCACTGCAGGTAACTCCCATCCCAGGAGCCAGGATCTGTTAATAGCTATTCCTTCTACCATCCCTCATGCAAACATAGCTGTAAAGCCTTTTACTCTTCATATCCCCATTGAAGAGATGGTGATCCCCTTCCTATCCCACAAATCCCTCTTTTCTAGGATATTCATATTTTTTTTCCTCACTTAGACCAGTGTGTCTGTGAAGAACTTGGGCAAAAACCACAAACTGTTTTAGGTTTTGTATGTAGGGCTTCAGACTTCCAAATGGCCATGGTTCTGGAGTCTAACTAAGGGCTACTCCCCATCCCACCCCCATATGCAGGCATACAGCAAGAGGCTGTTATGGCACCATGGGGAGACCACCCTGCCGAACCTGGACCTCAGTCCTCAGCAACTCTTCTTCCGAAGCTATGCCCAGGTAGACAGCTGCCATCTTCCCGCACGGCTCGCTCCATGTCAGAGAAGTACCTTACTGCTAATGCTTAAAGAACAGCTCCTCCCTGAAACACCTTCTCCCAAACAGCCCCAACCCTCTGACATAGAAGTCCCCACTGTCATCTTTTATACATACCACTTGGGGCCATTTTTTTCATTTTACTATAAATTCTTCTACCAAATTCGGCACCCCCTTCAATAAAGAAAAAACTCTACTGCCAAATCCCTCTGAGATGAGCCCAACTTTTTCTTCTCTCATATCTCCTCAAAAATGAGCCTCCAACAGACTGTCTACAGACCCCAGTCCTTCTTGGAGACTGGGAGACCCCAGGTGCGGTCCACACCTGACAGCACCCTCTAAGTACCATGTGCTGTCTCAACAAGACACTACACCCAATTCCTCAATATACTGAAAGACCCTCTCACAGAGGTTTTCCAATAAACCCCACCTCTCAGTCACTGACAGATGGTCTGACTGCACAGCCCAGGTGCCCACCCCCTCACATGCCTCCTGCCAGATCAAGAGACCAACAAATGTGTGGCTTGATCCCTGCTCTCACCTCTGCCATCCCTAGTCACCACCTTGGCACTGGTTTGCCTCATCCTACTGACCCTGATCTACCCTATGATTCTGCCATTTTCCTTACCCCACACGCACCTCTCTTTCTCCACAGGTGATGTGTAGGGAGCCTGGCACCCAGGAGCCCCAGGATCCTCACAGCCCACCCACCCTTCGAGTCCACGGGCCACTCAGCAACACCCCAGCTTTTGGCAGACATTTCCACTGTCCACACGGTACCCTCTTGAACCCCTCTAGCCACTGCCCACTCTGGTAGCCTGGCTAACACAGAGACTTCAATCAGGTGTCACAACGTCTCCCTGCTCCGTCCATAGAATTAGGTGGCAATCACCTTTCTCTTTCCCTTCCAAAAATAAAAGCTGGCACTTGGCATCTGCCTATCTCTTAATGACTCTTTCTTGATATGTTCTATGCCTAGAAGTCAGAAAAAATAAGAGGAGAAAAGGCCAAGAGAGTTCCACAGACACAAGAAAAGGAGAACACCAATGCTTGCTGAACTAGTGGGTTTGAAGGTCAGTGGGCCACAGGTCCAGCAATTAAATGGACCAGTAAGAGACAAAAAGGCTTCAGCTAAGTCTCAGAAAGTTGTCCCCCAGTGTTTTCAGGATTTTATTGTTATTGCTTTTATTGTTGCTACCCACTTCCCCTAATGTGCTGTCCCAAGCAGAATCAAAAGAGGTGCGGGAGAGAGAAGGGCATGGGTCTGGTGTCTTAGGCTCTGGGAGATGGAGCTCAGAGAGTGGGGAGGTGGTCAGGCTGTGGCGATGGGTAGTTGGAAGGCCAGTGCCAGGCTCTCTCAAGTGCTGCATCCTGAAGTGAAGAGCCACGCGGCAGAGTCAGGAAGCCAGGCATATGCCTCCCTTGAGAGCAGTGACCTGGAGCCCAGTGGGGAGAGAGGGTCAGTAAGCTATCATGAAACGGAGGTAGATATCCAGGTCCTCATCCAGGAACCAGGCCACCACCTCAGCCTCAACATCCCTCATAAAAAAACCATGATGCTAGCCAGATTGAAGCAGAAGGCTAGGTCCAATAGGTGGTCACGAAGAGCTGTTGTGTCTGATGTCTTGTCATCTTCTTGCTGGGTCATATCCACAGTCTGCCACATCTCACCCACTGAGGAGGCCACAAAGTGCTCTTCAAAGTACTCTTGATCCTGGTCTGGAATAGCAGAGAGGGGAAGGCACTGAAGATGCTGATCCTAACCTGCCCCACCCTGACCCCAACCTGTGCCAGAAATGGGACAAAGTTAAGAGAATCTGGGAAGAGGTTAGGGCCTGGGGCTTTAGCCCAGTTGTGCAGACCCTGTCCTTGACCAAGGAGTTGATGCTCCATCTAGAGGTCTCTTCCCATCTGTGTTCAACCGCAGCACACACACCCCATTTCCACCTCAAACTGTCTCCTCCAAATTGCTTTACACCATTCAGAGACAGAGGGACTGCCTTAGAGAAGGACAGAGACCAGAGACTCTTCCCAGACAAATGCATCTGTGCCCACACACACACAAGACACATGCACTTTTGGCTAGCCCGTTGTGCACCCCTGTATATGGCCCTGGTCAAGAACACTGCTCTAAACCTTTTACCCGACCCTTCCACACTACAATAATAGGGGACTGGAGTCCACTCTCCCACAACCTGAACCTATCTCAGGTTTCATTCCAGCCTGACAAGTAGTGGGGGACTAACTCCAAAGAGACCTGATCCTTAGCTCCAGACACCATCCTCTCTCCTCTACCTACCTGTAGAGGGTATCTCCTCATTCTGACTCTTCTCGTTGGGGTCCAAGTTGCCTTTCTGAGGCTTCACCCCCTTGACCCGCAGCAGCAGCAGGATGGTGGCCAGGAATGCTGCCCTGCAGAGCTGGGAGCCCAGGGAATTCATGGGCCTGCCCATCAGCTGCTTTTGGCCTTCCCTACTCCCCAGTTCCCAGCCAGCTCCCCCACCTCCCTCCCCTGTCCCTGTCCCAGCCCTTACCACTTCCCAGCACCGTTTTCTTCCCTTCCCTTCCATAGGACCTCTGACTTCATGAGCTTTGTGACATCACAGCCATGGGCCTGCCCCTCATTCAGGTCATTAGAGAGTTCCATTGCCAAGCAAGAGAGTAGTGAGTAGCCAGCAGCAGATAGCACAAGCTTCTAGGATGATCATAGCGGGTCATCCTGTGGAAAGCAACCAAATGACTGAAGAGTTTGCAAAGTACTTTCACTTCCATTTTGTCATGAGATCCTCATAACAAGTGGGACTCAAAGTCATAGGATCATCATACCCATTATACAGATGAGGAAACCGAGGTTCACAAAAGACATGACTCTTGCCCTTAGCATCGCCCAGACAATAGGGGCAGAGCAGGACCCTTGGCCACCTTTTTTCATTCTAGGCATCACCTCTTCCTCTCTTCCATGTGGCCTTTCTCCAAGGAAAGTGGCTTATGGAGGCTGAGGCCCAGAGAAGATGTGATAATATTGAATCCTGAAGTCCCGGGCCATACATGAAACTCAAGACCATCAAACATGAGGGAGGTGGAGAGGCACAGATGGAGGGGGAGGAAAGTGTACATGATGGGTGTGTGTGTATATGAGACACAGAACAGGGTGTCTACCCAAGCAGAAACCATTCCTTCACTCCTAACCTTCCCCTAGACTTTCTTCTCCCTGAGTCTTTGCCCTCTTGTACTGGTAGACTTAAACTCCCCTTCTCTAGTTTTATAGCCTCTTATATAATTCTCAGACACAAAGAAAAAGTTGTTAGAGGCTCATTCTCTAAACTCCTTGCTCGATGGAAGTAGAGTCTTTAGAGAAGAACCAGTGTGGCAGAGAGGTGAGGATCCCACATAACAGATCTCAAGGAACCTGCCTCAGTGCCCCAGGCCCGCCATGCCCATGAACCTGGTGAGCACAGACATGTTGGCGGTAATGGGCTGTGGATAAATACTTCCTGGAGCAGAGATGGTTGGGATGGGGTAGGGTGGGGTGGGGTGAGCTTGGGAGTTAAGATGAAGACCTGCTTGGACAACCAGAAATCAGGGAAGGCCATGAGCTACATGAGGGGTCCTGGGGCAGGTGGGAGGAGATTGTGGGCACACCTGAGCTATCACAATCAGCTCACGCCACTCCTGAGGCCCATGCATCCCATACCTGAGTGAACCACCAAAGGCATGGGCTGAGCCATGTGCAGAAACATGTGCCCTTTCTGGAAAAGAGAACTACAGACCTGGGAGTGTGAGACTCTTTCCCACAGATGGACCCCACCTTCCTGCTGATCCAGGCCAGGCGACTTGGTGAATGGGGAGCGCTACAGGAGGTCACTTGATGGTGGGGGAAGAAAGACTCAAGGAAGCAAGTGACCCTGCTCACCCCTACCTTGCACTCGTTGACCTTCAGGTACAGGAAACAATGCTTGGGTGGAAAAAAAAAGTCACTAATCTGGTTACTTTGCAGGGAGGAGCCTCTTGGTTCCCAGCAAAAAGAGAAGCCAATTCAGGCTCTGTGCGTTTTGATGGGGAGGGCAGCTGCGGGTGGGGCAGGCTGGTGTGGAAAGAACTGGGTTGTACTGACCACCACTCCTCTAATTTCCTTACCACCCACCAGCCCCATTCCTTGGCTGAAAGAGATAAGTCCTGCAGGAATTTAATTGTTTTTATTACAGAAGTATCTAAAAAGTAGGAAAAGCTAAAAGGGCTAATAACTTGACCATTCAGTGAAAATCACTATTAGTGTTTTAAAGTGTATTATTTAAATCCTTTCCCTACATGGTTGTGCGGATGTGGAGTGGAAGAGTATTTCCTAGAAAATAGAATCCAGGTATGATTCCTTTTCCTCCTCCTTATCACATCAGAACATGAGGTCTGACTGCTTTGGGGACAAGGGGCTCTGGGACCTAACAGTGTAATGAGGGGCTCTTGGGCCATCATTGAGTCTCCCGAGACTGCAGGGAAGCTGTGACCTGAGGGAGAGGGGCCCTAGGTGTTTATGTCCACAGACGGCTGAGGGAGCATGAGGAAGAAGGAGGGAGAAGTAGGGCTGTGGTGGGGGATATGACAAGGGCAGAGGAATGAAGGGAGGAAGCCAGAGACAATCAGGGAACTCCCCGAAGATTAGGCAGTAGACTTGACCCCCACACAGTCAAAAATCCCAGTGCAATTTTGGATTTCCCCAAACTTAACTACTAATAGCCTAATACTGACTGCAAGCCTTACCAAAAACATGAACTGTCAACTAACACATATTTTGTATGCTATATGTATTATATATTGCATTTTTATAGTAAAGTACACTAGAGAAAATTGTTAAGAAAGTCATATGGAAGAAAAATATGTTTACAGTATTGTAGTGTCTTTATCAAAAACTATTCACATAGAAGTGGCCCCATGCAGTGGGCCTGGGCAAGTGAGAGGGTGGAGACCCAGAGGTGGGGACCCATTCCCCAGGCCCGCCTCTTCTCCCCCCCCAGACCCAAGGACAGAGCCCTTGATGGCAAGCCCCCCTGCACCTGCTCTGTGCGGCTGTGACTGGGCCAGCCCCTCCCCACCCCCACGGCCTCCAGGATTAGCTTTATGGGCTGAGTGGTGCCTCGGCAGGCAGGTGCTCCTTTCTCTGCCAGCCCCCTGCTTATCAGCGCATCTACAACCCCCACCTCAACCTTATCTCGCCGTCCATCTCCTTAGACTGGAAGTCCCAAGGCTTCAGAGGCCATTACCATCCCACACTGCTCCAGCCCCCAGCAAAACAGAAAACTGCCCTACAAGGTGACCGCCTCCCGGTCCTGACTGGCCCCTCCCCACTCCCTAGGTGGGAGTGTGCTTCCTCCTGTCTCCAGCACCTCTTCCTTTTCTTATTTGTCTTCCTTTCAACTCTCCTCTAAGGGTCGTTTTGTCCAGCTGTCAATCTTACACTAAAAGAAGCGGGGTCCCCTGCTCCTAAAGACCCCCAAGGGGGAGGTTCCCAGCCCATGTCCACCCAAATCTCCCACATCTGTACAGGCAGAAGGCTTCCAAGAAACAATAAGTTGTGGCAGGTGATTTGGAGCTAAATTTCCAACTTTAAAGCCAGTTCTAGTTTTGCTATTAGCCATGGGCCATCACCCTCCCTCTCTGTGCTCTGTCTCCTCATTAGAATATAAAGAGAGCCCCCAACCTATCCCCATGTACCTCCTTGGCCTCCTGAATAACTCCAATTTGACAACATGCATTTATAATCAGAAGAGAAGTAGAACCCATCCTATCAGAAAACAACACAAAGAGGATATCTGCTTTCAGTCCTCTTGCCTACTCATTCCTGGGGAGAGTCCCAAGATTTCTCCATCCACCACCGTGGCTCAGCTCTTATGGTTCTACCTCTGGGCCCTACTCTGACTAGGTAGAAGCTGTGAGGGAACAAAGTAGGGTAGCCAGAAGTCTCTGGGAGGCTGGCTGTAGGGTTGAGGACAGAAACAACCACAACACAGAGAAGCAGCACCTTAGGGCTTGGAGCCTCTCTGGGCAAGGAGAACCAACCATCCCTGAGCTTTTCCGATCATGCTTTAAGGGACTCCATGAGACAGCACAATAATTAACCCAATTCTACAGATTAGAAAACTGAGGCCCAGAAAGCTGGCCTAATTGATCTGAATTCAAACCAGGACCTGACTGATTGCTGAGCTGGAAGGCTTCACTTTCCTACTGTCCTGTATCCCACTAAGCGCTCACCTTGCTTGTGGGGCCCACCTTCTGGGCTCCATCCTTGCTTCCCCTCTATTTCCTACTGCCTCACCTTCCCTCACTTTTCCCCTGTCTCAGCTTCAGCCCCAGCCCACTGCCAGGAATGGAATTTCCTCCCTTCACCCCTCCCAGCTCTTGGGTTCTGTGCCCCAGGGGCTCTGGAGAAAGAGCTCCTCCTCCTCCAGGTGAAGCTGCTTTCTCCTGACAAGGCCCCCTGAGTACCCTCAGTGCATGCAGGCGTGCGCATGTGTACACACGCGCACACACACACACACACCCCACCCACAAGCAGCATGCTGCATACACAAGTCACGCTGGAGATACTCTCTCTCTGTCCCAACCCCAAACAGACTCCGCCTCCTCCTCAGTTAAGGAGTCCCAGACTGGCTCCTTTTACCACATTCCCTAACCTGCCAGTGCCTGAAAGGAGAAGATATGGGGGCTCCTCCACCTAAGACAGAGGGACCCTGGGTCCAACTCCAGAAACTTCTGGCCTCCTGGCTGGTCAGAGAGCCGGACTGGGATCAGCATGTGGACGAGGCCCACATGCTGCAACAGAAGAGGTAGGCTGCCTTAGTCATGCTGCCTCCCACCCCTCCCCAACCTCAGGGTCCTCTGATCCACTGGGGTGTATCTACCCCTTCGAGCAACCTGGAATGCAATGCCAGGCACTGGGCTGTACCCAGCCCACTCGTTACAAACCCCAGCTGCCTCTTTTCGTGGGCAGGGCGGGAGGAGACTCAACGTAGGTTCCAAGCCAGGGACAAAATGACACCACAGTTCGAACCTGCCTGCCTGTTGGTGGATGGGTGCGGGGGACAGAAAGGGACCGGACCAAAAAAGACCGACTGGGGAGGTAGGAAGGTGCAGGCTGATAGAGAACAAGTTACTGGGGGGAGGCATGAGATCCTACAGGTTGGGGAAGACTTGTCCCCTGGAGAAAGAGAGGAATTCCCATTAGTATGAATGAAAGTTGACTGTGTGTGAGGGGAGGAGAGCTCTGTTTTGCATTACATCTGGAGCTGACCAACTGATAAGGGAAACTCAAGCTTATCTACCTTTTATTGAGGAGTCTACCGTGTCCAGGCCATATCCCGAGGACACAGAGATTGAATGAGGCCTGTACCTGCTCCTGGGACGCCTTCAGGTCAGGTGGGGCTGGTACACCTGGGGACAGATCATTTCATGGACAAGTGGCCAGGGCCGGGACCCATCCTGCAGGTGGGCCTCTGTCTCAGACATTTGGGGAACTGGTCGCCAATCAGAGCTGCCTAGGGGTTCAGTGAGCTGACAGTAGCAGGTC